TACACAGTGATTGACAGGTCTCTACCAGAGACGTATACGCCGTCTCTGCGCCACTCGTCCTCAGTCCTTATATGGTCACTTCCTGTTCACTGGTTGCGAAAAACCAAGATGGCGAAGATGGCTGAACTCAGTGCTTCAAAACGTCCACACACCAACAGGTGACGTGGAAAGCTTCTCCACACTATTTGGGGGTCTGTAGTCCAGTCGTTCCCAAACAGTGGCTCGCGACCCTCAGGTGGGTTGCAGGATATTTTATTTTGGTCGCCAAATAAATGAGCAGAATTTCTCCGGCGGTCACTCAGTGTGACGGCACTTATTAACAAGCTGTTAGTCATTCAGGCTGAAGCTCTGTGGGGTCGCTATGCATCACTTCATGTCTCCAGATAAACAGACTCAGGAATGTCCTTTGTTTCAGTGGTGACACACACACACACACACACACACACATTTACTCTGCCAATAAACCCTGAAATTGAAAGATGCCGGTTAAAGAGCAGATGTTCAGCTGAGGCAGCTCATGTGGAACAAGTGTAACAGCTTGATTGGTCTCTGGATTGTGCTTCACCCTCCTGTCAGCTGTCTGTTGTCACAGGGGTCAGAGGTCAGATTCCAGAGACGTTTCTTTAATTTAAACTGTCAAAGTGTCCTCAGGGACATCAGACTGAGTCCTTTAAGCCATGCATCTATTTTACACAATGACTGATGTTAAAGTGTTTGTCTGTTGTGACTTTAGGCCATGAAGCTCATTCAGGAGCTGCACAGAGAGATGAAGGAGCTCTGCCACCAACAGAAGGTATTTATACATTTATATATATATACAAACAGAGACTACTAATAACATATTATTTTGAACTGGTAGTCAAAGTGTTCTTGACACAGAAAGTGTAAAAGGAGACGCTTATCTTGAAATCGTCTAAAGATAAATGAGTTAATTTCACAAAAGTTCATCTGCAGCTGTTTTGAGAATCAATTTAATTGTTTAAATCCTTTTCAAGCACGAATGCCAAACATCCTCTGGCTCCTCCCACAGTAAATATAACATCTTTAGGTCTTGGACTAATCTGCATATGATGCATAAATGATTGTTAGTTATGACTTATCAAATGAATTATAGTCCAGTAAAACTAGAACTGTTGTATGGATACAATAATGGTTGTGAAGGGTACTTGCATGAGGTACTTCTCCATAGTCAGTGTATTACTACAGCAGAAACAGACAGCAGCAGAGTGATGTACTGCCGTTAGTGTGTGTGTTAGCTCGCTTTCACCAAAGTCACACACCGACACAAGCAAACATCCTGAATACAGCGTTCACTTCAACTGAGAGGGATTATTTTAGGAGTCTAAAATACATCCACAGCAGTACATTGCTTTACTCCATCTACTGTAGTAATACACCAACTGTGTACAAGTACCTCATACAACCACTCTTTAAAGCCACGTTTAGTCTTAATTGACCTCATATTTAGACACATATGGTGTGTATCCTCGCTAAAAAGAGCACTGCTCTGTCTTATCTCATATTTGGTATTTTATTTATGTTAAATGACGACTGTAATGTAAAATGTAGATGGAGAAGTCTTTTCCTCTCAGGCTGCAGGTTCAGCTTCCACCAATCAGAGGGCTGGATGTCGGCCTGTAACAGTGAGGTTATTTTTCTGAGCACACCACTGAATGTGACTCTGATCTCTATGGTGGCTGGAGAGGGTCAGAGGACACAGTGTGGAGAGTCAGTAGTGTTCTGCCTCTCTGTTGTGTCCTGAAGGTTGAAGCAGAGACGGCCTCCAATGTGGAGACGTGCTGCCACCGTGTGGACGCTCTGGAGGAGTCTGTGGTGAGACACAAACACACTGGCTGCATCTGGTCACATCATCAACCGCCTTTGTTTTCAAAAGTTGTTGTATTTGAGATGTGATGACGTCTTGTGTTTCCACTGAGACAGAGGTCTCTGAGGGACACGGTTCAGAAGTATCCAGACCCAGAGGAGCTGAGTCACCAGTGTGAGACCTGGGACCTCATGCAGTCCTCACTGCTCAGCCAGAGAGGAGACGTGCCCACGGTGAGGTCCTCATGAAGAGCTGTAGTCCAGACCGGGAGAGGAAACCTGCTCTCACTTTGTTTATAGACATGTTCCAACACCTGAGAACAGCTCGAGGTTCTCTCTCCAAGACCGATTTTATATTGCTGTAAAAACAGATTACAGTTGAACACGTCGTGATAACGTTATAATTCACCCTCGCCTCATACTCATTTTTACAGAATGAACCTTGAACGCATCATATTGTAACTCAATGCGACCCCCGTTAACGTTAGCCGTTAGCTCTGTTATTTAGCCAAGCAGGACTGTGCTGCTAACGGCTAACGCTAACTAGCTCTCCTCCTGCTGATTCAGATTTGTTGTTGAAAGTGTAACGTTATCAGGAGGCAAAGTAGGTTGTTGGACCACATGTGTGTAGTACTAGTTTGCACATGTGCAGAAGCGATCGGCATTGTTGTCACACAGTACAACACCAGAATAAATCCTCCAGAGTTACTGTGACTCATGAACTGAAACACATCAGACTTCATGTGGAAACGCTGACAAGCATACAAATATGTATGTAGAAGTCAAATCATGACATTTAACTGCTCTACATTTGTGAACATTTCTAACTTCTTTTGAACCAACAGATTGATAAAACACACTTAAATGTCCCAGAAGCGGTGGATTGTGTCCTCTAACATGTCTCTACTTTTCTACAGGTGCTGGTCGATGCAGAGGTCAGAGCCACACACACACCTTTCAACAGCAACCTCACCGCTGGAAGCGCTGCACCTCCTCCCTCCTCCACCCTTAACCCTGTCGAGGAGGCCAGCCGGCCAGCAGCTCCTGGTGCTCCTGGTGCTCCGACGACTTCTGGACCGACTTCAGGACCGACTTCGATGGACGCCGGGTCGCCCCTGTCAGAACCACCGCAGCAGATGGGTTTTAAAGCAGACCCGGCAGCCGGCTCCAGCCTCTCAGAGCGCTACTCGGAGACGCTGGAGGCCCTGAGGAACATCGAGCAGCTGGGAGCTCGTGTTGCTGCGCTGGAGGAAGGAAAGGCGGACCAGTCACAGCTGAGACACCTCAGAGAGCACATGACTGACGAGAGTAAGTTCACATCAGCTGACTCTTCAGTCATCGACAGAGGGTCGGCTGATTTAAAGGTCCCCAACACTTTGCGATAAGCTGTCGTTTTTTCTGTGATTTCTGTGTTTCTTGGTCTGTTTTAATGTAAAGAGTAAAATAATTCACATACTTTACATACACACCATGTGTCCTGGCAGATTGGCTCCATTGCTACAAGCTAACTGAGCTAACTCTCATGTTTACGGTAGGTGACCGTAGAACAGCTCTTAGAGGAAACATTTTGGGAAATACACTTTATTGCTTTCTTGCCAAACAGTTCATGATATCAACTTCTCTGCTACTATGTTTTCTTCAGAGAGCCTCATACTGAGATGTTGAGCAGACGTTAGTTCAATGTCTCATTGTGATAAAGTAGACTGTTGGACTGTGGTTGGTATCACTGCACCGTGAGGCCAGCTGTAGCACTAACTGCTTAATAACTTGCGTGCAGGTTTTTAGAAAGGTTACGTTACTTGTTCATTTGACAAAGTGAAAGTTTAAGTTATCTGCTTTCTTTGTAGCAGCGTAGTTCAACAGACCGAGAGTCACCTGACTGAAACAAAGAAGGAAGCCATCACACCTGACTTGTGCTTATGATGTCATATTGTACATTCAGGTTCACAGGATGCGATGAACCACCTGATGGATCAACTGAACCAGCAGAGAGCTCTGATAGACAGCCTGATGAGTGACCGGGGGAAGGTGGGTGAGAGGACGCTCCTACATTCTTAACACCAAACACCAGCCTCACATTCTGATCGTGTGACGATGTGTCTGTCCAAAGCTGGACAGTCCGGAGGACATGTTTATGAACCTAAGCAGCCGGGAGAAAGAAAGCGGCCCAGTGGCTTCAGGGGGGGAGGAGTCAGACAGCTCGGCCTCTCGTGAGCTCAGACAGCAAGACAGGTAAAGACAGGTGGACACAGATTCCACTGGAACATCCAAAGCACAGGTATTAAACCACAGGTTTAATACCTCAGGTTGTATTTCACAACGTCCAGAAAAACCAGAGCAGACAAGAAAGATGCAACAGAGTTCCACAGGACAGTAATGGTTGTTGTTTTGAGAGATTTAAATGCAACTTTTCCAGTTTTATTTGTTATAAATATATATATATAAATATATATATATATATATATATATATATTATATATATATATATATATATATATATATATTTGAGTGCTCGCTCTCTCTCTGTGTGTGTTCATATTCATCATCGTCGTGTGCAGGAAGTCTGTGAGGAAGCTGGAGGTGAAGCAGCTGAAGGCTTTATGTGTGGAGAGAGCGACAGACGGAGACCTCCAAGACCTGGTCAGGCAGGAGGACAGTCAGGGAATAACGAGGACACAAAGATACTGTTCTCCTACAGGAACAACAGCAGCAGCAGTTTAGACCAGCAGCTTGTTTTAATAACTTAATGTTTGGGGTTTATTTTGACATTTGAAACCTGAAGGGGCGTGTTGTCTGTTGACTACTAGCGCACCTGCTACTGCAGAGATGATAGAAATATATATCTGATGATTATTGGTACAATAGTTTGCTCTGAACACGTGACAAAGTCCAGACACAACAAACACCTCGCTCAATTAATGGGGAGGTACCCGAAGAAAAAACGTAAAGCAGTTCTGATCAATATATTTACCACTGAAGGGAAGTGATGAGAGACACGTATTTACCAGACATTACCCTGAAAAACAGCTTGTTCCTGCTGACTTCAAGTGGACTAACAAACTGTTATTTCAGGTTTAATATGAAGCACAGTTTTTAGATATTTTAGAACAGGAAATAAAAAAACAACATTTTATTCAAATGAATTGAAACTTACCAGAAGCCGAGTTGTATTCCAGGATTCATCCATAAACGTTCCATCTTGGTGAACAAACTGCAATAAGAGCAAAAGCTCATATTTTTCTGAAGTACGTAAACGTGAAAAATGCGTGAACACGACATTAGAAGACTTGTTAGAATAAGTTTGATGTGTTTTTATCTTTCTGTCTCAACAGCTGCTGCTGTTACTTTACGTTCATACATGTGATGCAGCATCACTCTGCTGAAGATGGTCTGATAAAGACCAAACAGGCTTCTCGCTGAATCAGCATGTATAGAACAGAGCAAGCGATGTCCAGTTGTTAATGAGCTCGACATACATCCGTCTAATCTGAGCTCTCTGCCCTCTGACCTCAGCTGGACGACCTGCGCAGCACGTTGGAGGACACGATGGAGTCCCTGACCTCTCAGCCGTCCGAGGCCGGGCAGGACGAGAGCGCCGGTAGCCAGAGCAAAGAGCAGAGCAGAGAGAACACGGGCCAGAAGCTCAGCCTGCTGTTCCACCACTATGAGCAGCTGCAGGACGCAGTGAGCGGCCTCCTGCAGCAGCAGACTGGAGGCCCAGCAGGGCCGCCGAAGCTAGAGGCAAGCTGGACCTGCAGCACAGAGAGGCTGACGAGTGGAGACTCAGCTGATCTACTGTCTGCTCTGGAGACAAATACTACAAGAGTTTAGAGTACTTCACCACTGCTAGCTCGAGCATTTTAACAGTCCTGTTCATCCTCTTCAGGCTGGTATCCCAGCATGCATTGCCTGAGAAGGAGATGAACAGAGTATTTCACTGGTTCAGTATCAGACTCACTGTGGAGCAGCAGAACCAGAGATGTCGTCTATTTTTTTATTCCACACGTTCTCCTTCCTTTTCAAAACCTGGCGCCTACATTACCCACAATGCAACTTGGCCGCAGACAGTTTGAGTGATAGATTGTGTTATGCTAGGAGCGGCTAATGTAGCCTGCAGCTACAGAGGCTTCACTTCTTTCTAACTCCAAACCTCCAGATTCATTTTTTTACTTTTCAAACTTGTAGTCTTCAGCCGACGGCGACTCAAGTGACATCACTTGAGGACAGTTATCCCACAGCTCCCTCCGGAGACATTAAAGTCTTTATACTACTTTAAAAACATGTGCAGCGGAACCAGACGGGATGAACGAGAGTTTTGATTTCTCTTGATGACTCCTGACGTCATTACACTTGATATAATACTTCTGTTTGAGGCTGAGCTAGAAGCAGACAGGCAAACCTCTGAGGAGGACTGTGGACCCCCATCAGGTCTGGGTCGTTAGTCCACGTTGAGAAATCTTCAAGGAACTACCAGTCCAGTCTTTGTTGGACTGAAGCTCGTCACAAGTGTAAAGTCCTACAGCATCGATACATCAGATATCTGTTAATATAATCCAGTAAACAGTGTTCTTCATATGAGATCTGGTTAAGAATGTTTGACGACTTAAAGAGCAACTGCAGATTGTCCACCAGCTTTGTATCATTACGATGTGGTTCATATGTAGACATGAACGGTGTTGAACGCCCCTCCAGAGCTGCTTTGTGCTCATTTTGCCACCAAAAGTTAACCGGAGGATGTTTGCTGTGGAGCTGCTCCACAGTTCTTGTATGCCGGCTGATTTTAAAAG